TCATCACTAGTTCACACTATATAGTAATGATCACATTGTACTAAATATCAACAGGTGGTTTTATAGAAAGGTGGTGATTGGTCTCACTAGTTCACACTTATGATAGTGGTCACACTAAATATTGTAACAGTATTTTCTGAAAGACGGCTGGAATTATTAATGAATTATTCTAACACATTTTATTATGCCTCACCAGTTCAGTACATAGGGCCTTGGACTCTGTGAAATTTTTCTTCAGGTCCTCTCGGGACAATTTGATGCTGGCATCAGCAAATACAAGTCGACGAGCTTTCTTCTTTCGATGAGAGAGTTCTTTACGCTCATCTTCTTCAATTGGAGACAATTCCAATAAATGAAGCTTTCTCTGAGGGTGAAAATGTAATCTTAGGTTATCTCCCAATATCACTTGCATTTCTCCATAGTGTAACATGCAAATATTTTATTCATTGTATCCAAAAACTTGTTTGTTTTTTTAATCTTTGAAGCCAGGATTAAACTTAATTAAATTAAATTTCATTGAACAAATTCAAGCCCATTTTGGAGTATATTTTAAAACAAGACAAAACAGATTGGAATTAATGAATACATTCTGTATACATTTTTAGCTTGATGAGGGGAGAGATGTAGGTATGGGAGAAGGAATTATCTTTGGTAGGGTTTCTCAGATCATAATTGAATTTTGAACGTTTCTTTTGTAAAGAATTTGAGAGACTGGGTGCAATCATCTGTTGTTACCTAATATTGCAGTTTAGGCAAATGTTGTTTTAATACCAGACGCAATCTTGTGAAAGAAAACTGAAGATGAATTCATGCAAGAAAAATTATCTGCTGTGATGTTTTAAGTTATGGGCAGCAAGTTGACAAACTGGTTGTGAATTAGATGGTAACTTGGGATCTGACTAAGCATTCAGCATTTCAAACTTGCTGGCACCGGCTAGTGGTCACGCCCACTCCAAATGAATCTATATTGCAGCTTGAAACATACAATACTCTGATTTGCGGAATTCAAACAAATGATTTAATTTTAACCATTTGAATTCAGTGAGATTAAAAGTAATTATGTTCACCCAAGTTGATGTTGATAAAACATAATACAGTGACCACTCGTTAAGTCGTGGGTGTTGGGATTTAGGTAGAAAACACAACTTATCAAGGATAGACAGACTGGATAACTTTGGCCTAGATTTGGGGATTTTTTAAAACTGCTATCAGTTTTGTAGAGCTCTATCAAAGCAATACTAATCATTATATGCATATTGACATGAGTTGACACCATAATCCAATCTGCAGACGCATTTTGCACCCCAGTAATTGATGTTGGGCAATGGATGTTAAATGCTGATGACATCAATGTGGTTTGAAAAACACTGGCACTGATTATCCCACACCTACTCTTTAACTACAAATAAAATTCATGATGAAATAAATCATTAGCTATTTTCTTTTAAAACTATTGCTAAAGGAAAAAACAACAGAATTTTTTGGAAGCCATCAAATCACTCGTGACTTAGACAAAATACAACATTAGCGAGGGATCACTGTAAATCGCAGGCAGAATGCATAACAACCTACTGGCACTGTCAAGTCTAGAAAAAGTCTACTGATTATTCAAATCACAAGTTGTCATCCAAAACAAAAGTCACTTTTCAGACTTGCTGTAACAATAATATACTAGTCTATAAGTAATTTCAAATGTACCTTTCTTGCTGTAGTTCCTGAGGGTGTAACAAAGTCATGTAGACCATCGTCGGCCAATTCTGGTGATTTAGTCTGCAGTTGAACCAAATCTTGATCTACCGCAGATGGTCTTTCTGGTGACTCTCCAGATGAGATACCAGACACATCTTTGGGTCTTGTATCCAGTTTCTTTCCCTCTTCTTCTATAGTTTCATCAACTGATTGTTTTTTTCTATCACTTGCTTCTACCTTGGTGTCTTTCTTCCTTCTCTTACGCACTGCGTCTTCCAGTATTGGTGATAATTTCAATAATCCGGTATCTGGATCTATTAACCACATGCTTTGCTCCTGAGGGGTACTACAAAGTGTTCCAAGGTAAATTTAGTGAACATATAAAACAACCGCATTAAACAGAAAATACAACATATGATTTGACTTTCAGCGATAAGGGATTGTGCTTATTACATATGCGTTAAATTTTATGGAATTGCCAGTTGCCAGAGTTCACATAGTAATCTTGTGTAAACAATGTTTTTACACCCATTTCACATGTTGCATGGAACCCTTATCAAGCATGGAACAGCACGACAATCTTGACATTTTAATTAAAGCATGTATAAATTTGGCAGCTCACCTGGCTGGTAAGACTGGCTGATCTCTTATCTCCTCTAGATGGCGAGCTGGAGATGTTATACCAGAAATGTCCTGCATCATCATTTCACCAATGTCACCCATGGGTGGCAGATCATCCCCAAACTGGAAAGAAAATTACGACGATAACATTATTATTCAAATGTAATCTGATTTAAATAGATATTTCTGCCTGCCTGCCTGCCTAAATCACATGCCTCAGATCTGGCATGTTTTATTCAGTTGAAATATGATTCATTTGTTCAAACAACTGTATTCTATAACTGTTGTATACATTTACAAAAAACAAAAATGGCTGTTTGTCAGCCATCTTTGATCTGATCACAAAACGAATTGTCATGGACATATATCTTAAAATATGTCCAAACATGTCCAAGATACCACAAAATGGCTGCCAGTAGGTCATCTTTGATCATTTCACTAAACCACTGCATGTGCATTTGTCAGACTAAAGTACTAAGTATATGCAATGGATGATTATTTGATTCAGGCAGTTCTGAAACATGACTCCGAATGGGTGGAGAACGAAATATAAGTCCCCATTTTCGGACAGGCACTAATAAATGTGAGGTAGCATCTCATGTTTGTTTTCTGTTGATTGCATGAAGTCTCGCAAATTTCTTTAAAATTTAATTGTGACTTGAGACCAAAGATTATTCTTTCCTCAATATCTACATCTTCTCTCCTCATCAAATATGATAATTTCATGCACAAACACAAATCAGTTTCCATTGATTATTTAGCCAAAGATTTACCTGAACAATTTGTGCACCTTCCACAATGTGATCCTCTTTCAAGCTGATCTCAGACCGAGTTCGAACAGTGTGAGGACTACCTAATGCTGAACAAAATATACAAAATATTACTTGTACTCTGAGATATTTGTTGTATTATAATTCAGCAACAACTTATAGTTTTGACTAAGCAGAAGGCAAAAATTTGGATATTACTCTTCTTTCTATTACTACCAATTTCCGCATGGTAATCTCTTAAAAAAGCAAAAAAATGAATGAAAAATATTAGTAGCAAAAATGTTAGCGCTGGTCCATCTACTCAGACAAAATAACGTGGTTGAAATATAGAGCAAGAATGATAACTGCCGATACTTCTGAGACTTGCTGTAAATATTTCAGTTAATAAGAATTGAACAGCTACCTGCTAGCATTTGATCCTGTGGACTTGATAAATCAGAACTTGATATTCTTAGCCTTGGAGGTGGACTCGTTAACATAGGTTCCTAGTATAATATTATAACAGAGGTGTTAGCTTGCAGTTGAATTTTTGAATTCTTGGATTGGAGTGGCATAAATAGATACTAGTAGCATAGGAACAACAATAACATACTGACCACAAGTGGTATGGAGTATGGATCCAGTACCATTGTTATAAAATCTCCCCTCAATGATGGTATAACACCAAAGTCGGGATCCACAGCGGATTCTTGTAGCGATATAGGATCAGGTAAAGTGCAGAAATCTACAGATCTGAATTGAATATAGTCATAGTGTGTAAAATTATATATTATACAACTACACACCAGTCAGAGTTGCAATAAAGCTTGAAATTCAAAGGGGGGGGGACATCAAATACAACAGCCTTGGTGCCTAAGGAGTTTGTCGTAGTGTGATTAGAAGAAGGCAGAATCTCTGTAAGAATTTGATATGCTAAGACAATTTTATCAAATTTTGTCTTAAAAATTGGGTGCCCTCGAAGAAACTCTGATGATAAAGCCTTGTTGCAAAATTATAGCAATTATTATCCAATTGTCAAAGATGAAAAATAATAAGTTAATCAGATAAATCAAT